GTGCGGCGTCCCTATCAATTGCCGTATTAAAAGGCGTCCTCGCCAAACAGCAGTACATAGTAAGATGGGTTGTAGGTGTCGCAATATCCCCGCTTCGCTGGTACTAGCTTGGTTCTTGACCTCACAAGATGGCTCGAAGTGATGTTCGATGCCATGTTCGGTAAGTTTTCACCAGCGAGGGAAACATTACCTTTACCATGCCTTTCAGGTCGTACGAATGCTAATGCTGCATGCATTTACCCTTACTGCCCCCAGACTAAATCGAGACCACGTAGCATTTCGTGGAAATCCTCATGAGGCTTCCGGCCAAGTGCTGACTGGGTCCATCATCCTCCAAGTCTCCACGCCGTTGCATAGCGGGCATTTTCGACTGCATCTCCTCGGAAAGCTCAAAGTAGCCGAACCAGTTCTTCGCAAATGGCAGAGGGTATTAAACTTCAGTGCCAAAAAAACGACGATGGCAAAGACAATAATCTCAGAGCATGCTCACAATCTCGCACCGTCTGGTGGCGAAACGTTGCCTACAGGGCACTACGAGTACCGCTTTGAGCTTGCGCTGCCTGGAAAGATGACAGAGACAATTGAAGGGCTGCCAGAACTGATATTAAGGTACTGCCTCGAGGCAACGATATACAGTGGAGAAGTGCCTGTAGAGCGCGCTTACAAACACCTACGAGTGATTCGTGCCGCCGCAACGGATGCAATAGAGCCATTCCGAGCTGAAGTCTCGCAAGGTACGTGGAGCGATAAAGTGGATTATTGCTTCACTGTTCCCGAGAAGGTAATAAGTTTTGGGGGTGTTATACCCTTCAACATCCTTCTATATCCGCTCTTAATGGGATTAAGGCTGGATAATATTACCGTGAGAGTAATTGAGGATCGCCAATCATTGGTGACGAGCAACACCGCACAGAGCACACCAAACCTATTCACGAGGATTCTTGCCAAGGCGTATATAAACGGGCCAGGCAAAATGCAAGTCACTCGTGACAAGCATGAAGAAGGCGTTTGTCTCGGCAATCTGGGCATTGTCAGTCCGATTACCTCTACCCACAAGCCTCAAAGACCGTGCTCAATCCATAGATCTCGGAATCATCAGGGTCGCTCATGCCGTCGAAGTGACCATAGATTTGAAGAACCCTGACGGGCATGATCTAAGGTCAGTGACAAATTGCCGGAACTGTCAGCCAGCCGCGCTGCGTCAAAAAAGTCACTTTTCTAACAATCCTCTCAGCTCTGTACAAAATTCCCTGTCACAATTACTGTGCAGTCTAACACCATTCGACCAAGATGGTACTTTGATTGTTCGAAGATAGCGCCTCCAAGATACTCACAGCATGTGCATGATCAGCGCCTCTCCAATTACCCGACTCACAAGGCAAAATGGTGACGCAATATTTAGCAGTTTTTTTTCTCTTTTCTCTTTTCCCTTTTGAAGAAGGGGGGGAATTTGGATGTTGTTGTGCGGCTATGTTAGAAGCACTACCACTGCCAGGATAATGGATCTACAAATGTAATACTTACATCCATCTGAAGTTAGTCGTAACGTTAACATAATTCATTATCGAAGCACGTTGCATCATTTGTGGCTTCGTGTGGGTCAAATACTCTTTGCCGCCCAATTTGTTGCATTACCCTCTAAACTCCGGAAATACTAACAGTATGTGAAACGAAATCGTATGCTTGGCCAAACGAATGTACAAGGGTTGATACATATGGCACCCGCCATTTTTCTGTTAGAAGCATACGAGAATCCCTTGTCCACCGGGAGTGAGAAGATACAACCATGTCCTTTGTCCAATCTTTACGAGCTTTCGTGACCTTAGATTCCCCACAGTTGTTGTTAATGGTCGCTTGCTGCTTTCCCCTCGAGTTGGGCTTGGGTCTGGGATGATGCTGTCATCAAGAAACTTCTGTCAAGCTTTATTTCCTCTGCGGTACCAGCATATTAGCAAATACCCCATATGTACAGCCATTCCTCCATATGAGGGGCAAATCTTAACGGTCCCTATGCTGATCTCCCAACGCTATTAGACAACAATGAGGAGCAACATGCTTACGTTACTACTGTTGGAAGCGCAAGGCTTCTATCGGCGAGATAATTATCACAGGCACAAACGGCTACGCGCTGGTGATCATGATGTTGTTCTTGCTTGTGTTGAATTCATCTATCTATGGATAAAGCACGCCTGAATTGGTGTTGAGGTCTCCTCACGTGAGGCCTGTTTCAGCCACTGTTTGAGGCTACTCGCAGGCTGCTGGCTCCGCCGCCCAAGAGGGCGGTGGAAGCAACAACTACATTGCACGACAAAATAATAATTTGAATGCCGCGTATGCTCGCAGCAGAAAACTGATAGGCCCCAAAAATTGACATTGGAATGATCGAAACAGCAAGGTGACCTAGGGTCGTTAGTTATGAGGTCATTGTCAGGATAGGCTCTGGGGACGTACCGAAGACGATAGGTCGTCGTGTGACTGTTTGCCAGATTTCGTCAGACGTGAATATGTCCAGGGCACCGTCCCACTTCCAGGGTCCTTTCAAACGAAACTTGGTGTTGATATGAGCACCAAAGACCCACAGCGTTAGCAACTTGAAAGACACCACTACGTGCCTCCACGAGAAGTGCTTGAAAATGTCTGCCAGCCCGGGCGCCGACCCAATGTCCAGAGCCAGCTGGTAGGCATAACTTTCGTGATCAACCGCGTAGTTAATTCTTGCATCGGGAAGGGCTCGCAGTCTGTAGTGATGCTCATCTTCCGGCAGGAGGGGCTGTTGAATGCTTCTGGGTGATAAAGAGGTTCACAATCCACAACTGAGTCTGCAGCTCTGCAAGTGGCGGAATCGCACCGAGCGACGGACGTACGAATCCTATGAAACCAACGGTTGGATCGTCACGCTTCCATATTTGGCGTACATCCGCACAATCAGGCGTCGGATATGGAGCATTGTTTCCGTCTTTAGACGTACTGAGAAATGGGAAGCTCTGTTTTTGCATCCGGTACACATAACTACCATGTCTGGTCGGATTCGCTGTCCTTGCATGCGGTCATATTCAGGTCGCTTATTGTCGAAGAATTGCACAGTACCCTTCTCATCAAAACATTGAGGAAGTGGTGCAAGATCCACCCGCTTCCCTCGAGTGTCGGCGATCGGAGTCTGCACAAAGAAAGACCGAAGTGAATACAGCCACAAACTTGGCCCGGGTACTTTGGACCGGTAAGGCTCATTGATATACGGGCAGACTTCCATGGACTTGTTAAAGAAACTTAGCACATTATTAATCAGTACGTCGACTTACTCGCTCTGGCAGATCAACAAACACCCACTCTTTGACGGATGGTCTCGCTCCTTGCTAATGCCGCCGATCCACTGGTCCATGCCCAACGTCGTCCCCGACGTTATGAATAGAAGGCATTTGATATAGATATTATAATAGTCCCAAAGAAATTTGTCGTTTCGCCGGAGGATTTTGTGGACATAGGCTGTGTCAAACATATTTGCCCGGCTGATATCGATGGGGATGCCTGGTTCCCTCGGGTCTGGCTTACGCAGACACCGCAGAATAACTGGTCCAGGGTTTCTCTGCCAGGTGTTAGCAGACAAGTGTCTTGCCGCGAAGTGATTGCAGAGAATGTAACCTTGGGGGCAAAGTGGCATCCATCCTTGTGACAGAGAATAACTCTCTCCGCGTTTGGCGTGGTCACAGCGAGATGGGAAATGTCGGCTCCCGTCTCGCCAGAGCCAACAATCATGACGGTCTTGCTGGAATGAAACTGCTTACGCGCCTTAAAAGCCGACGAGTGTATAACCCGAGGCACATTTTCGAGCCCCTCAATCTCGGGCATGTTTGGTTCGACGTGTAGGCCGGAGCATACTGCAACGGCATCACAGTCCCACTCAGCTTGATGGCCATCCTCGGTTTCATACACGACTGTGTGCCCACGAAAACGACGCTTGACCGCCAATACTCGAGTTTTTACGTTGATGTCGGGCCACAGGTTAAAATGTGTGCAGTAGTCCTCTAAGTACCTGACATAACTTGCTGCACTGAGGAAGTCGGGCTCGTTTGGTCGCCGGAAGTCAGAAAACGTAGTAAGCTGTTTTGATGATACCATCTGTCCCACGTAAATGCGTCATTGAAACGTACGTACTCATGTTTAGACACATACCTCAGCATCTTCGTACACCTTTGAAAAAAAAAGCTCCTCCAACTCGGGACTGGTACTCAAACAGACGTACCTGGACCGAGCCGCAGCCCAGATATTCGCGAGCTTGGATTAGGTATTTCAGAGTTACGAGCCCTGATGTCCCTCCGCCGATAACAGCGACTTTCATAATGGGGAGTAGATAATTATGCCGGAATTGCGAAGATGTGATTATTCTACAGGTCTGGAGCTTCAACAACAAATATGCAGAAGGATTAGCGAAGGGGCTGTTTGCTGTTGAGGAGAAAATGTATGTAGGTGTAGGGCTGAAGTACTCACCGGCGCAGGGAGAGAGACTGAGTGGTGCAAGTGAAAGCGCCCTAGGGGGAGAAGGTTCGTTGCTAGCTGTACGTGGGCAAGGAGAAAGGCATGACGTGTGCTGTCAAATGACCTCATGGCGTGTATGCTCGGGAAGGGGGAATGATAACATCATGGCTTAGTCCGAGGATCAGGTTGATGCTCGAAATGGCCCTTTATGTCATGGGTGAGTTACGAGCCAGGGCGAACCTGGCAAATATTATCGACGAGCAAAGGCGGGAACATGGTGTTCGAACAGCTTAAAGAGTATGTCCTGGAGAATGCAAGCATGCAGGTTGGCAGTGCCTCGTCCATGTGTGCTGGAGGTCCATGTTAGGAAAAAGCAACGACGACACCATCTTCGTTTCAACAGGGTAGTTGTCAGGGCTCGATTGGACGTCGCAGGAAATGGTGCGGGCTGCCGCCGACAAAGTTGGGGTGACAAGTTGTATACACAGACTGGCCAAAACTGCGATAATGGACGCAAAAAGCAGGGTGATGGGGAGTACAGGCAACTATTGGCTTATCGGCCTAGCACTGCAGGAAAGCATGGCGTAGTCTGAATGGAAATACCGTAGTATGAGAGAAGTCACCCATATCCAAGAAGCGCGTGCCAACAGGCGAGAGAGTCCAAGTGGCGAAGCTCCGGAGCCAAACATATACTATCCGTCAGGAGTACTCGGCGTCGAAGTGACAACAACACGGTGGAGAATCTTGGCTATGAGATGTACATGGTGGAGCGGCGATGACAAGATCGGTTGCGGGAATGGCACGAAATACTGTCGACGGCCACACTGCCCCAAATCAGCAACTGAGGAGACGGTCGAAATACGAGAGATTGGCAAATACGACGTCCACATTTCGATTCATCCAGCCCAAGCAATCAGCCAGTGAAGAGGCTTCACGACGTGAGCAGGCGGAAGCAATCGTGAGGGCGCCGCCGCGAAAGAGAATACCACAGCCCAGCGACGCCTCGAGCACAGGTGCGTTACGTAGAGGAGGAATTGGCCGTGAAGGAGAGCCCGTCGAAAGAGCAGACGTAGTGTACGCCAATACCACACGAGAGATAGGTCTCGACCGCAGAAGATTTCTATAGAGCGTTCCACGATACGAGCAACTTGCAGTTATGGACGTGTATGCTGTGCTACCGCAAGCGCACGAAAATATAGTTGAGAGATGTTAAATTGGAACAACGGAAGCTGAACGGTATTGCAAAGAACGTCTGGTCGCTGTTTTCATGTCGGAGCTGCCTTCCTGAGGGCGAGAGTGTCCTAGTCTGTGCGGAGTTCATACGTTGTTTGGAGCGCGACGCCCTGTCACCTACAGACCAGCTCCATAAACGTATGTTCCCCGAAAAGCTGAAGGGGGTCACACTCCAGTGGAGGAGAAACTTATCGCGCTGAACTCATGTTACGGGTTCGTCACAAGATGCAGCGCTGCGAGCGGCCATAAGCAAAATGCCATTTACCCAAAGCACATCAAGGGCCACATCACAGTGTTCCCGAACAATGTGCAGGAGCTGGCCACAAAGGTACTTCCCCATCCGCTGGTGTAAGTTATGGAAGAAATCCATATCTCGTGACAAGGCGCGGAGAAGCCAGCACCAAGCGACTTGTCGGGGCTATTGTCGGTCAGGCAACGAGCCGCTGAGAGGGCACTTTGGGTGAAGATGAACAACCCGCATTACGCCTTACGCATCCTAGACCACGACAGCCGGCAAGGTTCTCAGCTTCAGGCAATTCAGTACACAAGGACGTACAGCCGATAATCTCCGATCCTGGTTCGCCCAGAAGTGAAATTATATCTGCTAACGGCCCTCATATTTCTCTCAAGTAACAAGAGAAACGATCTGCATAAATTTTATCCACATAACGCCGCTTGAACGCCGTTTGAATGGCCGAAGCAATGTCAGTGGGAGTCCAAGTGCAAGTAGTTCTGTTGGATAAGGCTGCCTCTGTTGATTGAACAAGCAGACTTGGCGTAATTGTTGGATGTCATAAAATCATTGATATCAGTAGTTTAAGAGGCTGGCCAGTGAAACCAGGGTGGCTGGGAAGTGTTCTAAAACTAAAGATAAATGACATGAACTTTTCTGAAGCATAGAGACAACAACAATAAACTTTTTTCTTCAACAGAGAAGCTTAGTTAACAATGAGTCTCATAACGTGACAAGTTCACGTTGTACAAACGGTGTCACACAGCACGATTATATGAGACAGCTTGGACAAAACGAGAGACTCTTGATATCCTATATAAAGAGTGGAATAATACGAAAATAAATACTTGTTGGAATACTGCTGCCTAGCAGGCAGCAGTATAGCAATGTCTTGTTTTCTTGAATGAGCGACTTGATCTTGACAAACGGTGTTGTTGGTCTGTTCTTGCGCAAAATAAACCGATCCTCGACGCCACTTTCTAGGGTTTCTCTTGCGCAACCCCAGAACATTGCTCTCACTCCTTCAATCCGCCGCGAGATGGCTTGTTCCATTTCATCGTCCGTCATCCGCGTCTCAGTTACCCAGTCCAGGCTCAACCAACATCTGCACCAGCATCTTCTCTGAGATTCGACGCCAAACGTATGGGTACAACAAGCTAAACTCTCCGATCTCGTACTTTCTTGGTTCGCAATATCTCCTGGTCTGTCTCACTGCCTTGGCATTGCTTGGTAAACTCCACCCTTATGATGCCTGATGTCCTATGAATTGGTGAAGAGTTCCGTGTCTGAATAAACTTGATATTGACCTTGACGCTTCAATTTCTTCACTAAAAAATTTCTAGCTGCAGGCATACCTTTGTTCTCTGAGAAAGGTTGCGCCTCGATAGCTGATAAGAAAGCCATGCCGCACCAACACTGACGTACAAAGGTATTTACAGCACATGCATGCACAGGTCTATAGTGATGTCACACTTGGGCACGTCTCTTGAATGCGGCAAGTCAGGTAAGAGAGAGACGATACAGCCGTATCACAGGGTTCCACGTCTACCGCAAAAGAAGTGGAAAATTTGGAATATTGTCCTCGTCGTTGGCATCACGCGAAGCGTCAAGGTGGGCCGAGGCAGGACAACCCCAAAGGGAAAATAGAACTATCTAGAGTAACTGAGAAACTTCGCCAAACGAGAAGTGTTCATTTTTGTGATGACAGGAAGTAATGCTCTCCACGTCATGCTGCCCGTTGGGGTGGACAATCGCAGGCGACTGGGATGGCGAAAAATATGCAATATCTGCAGTTACTAAAATGGACGAGAGTGGACGAATTGTTGTACACATCAAGAAAGTTGGGAAATTATACTAAAGAATTGCATTGCATTATCAAGAAAACGTGCTATGGGACGTCTATCTCCGATCGTGAGGCTGGACGATTGTGAAAACATATCGTCTCCTTCCATTTCCCCAGGCGGATTACCCGGAGTATTTTAGCATTCCACACGTAGAAAATACTGCTGAGTAAACTGGCTTCTCATCTTACTATAACCGAAGACAATACCGGAGAAGATGCAGTATTTAATTCCCAATTTAATTTCGCAGGCAGCTTTGCGCACTGCCTCTGAAGGGGTACGAACTTGGGGGCTCGCTCGACAACCATTTTCGTATCAGCGCGCCGTTCTGCATTGGGCCTTGATGTCTGTGTTTGAAGAACGGAGGCTGAAGCAGAAGAAGCTGATTATTTCTTTGGCCTGATTTATGTGCTCGCCGCTGTCGCAGCCCGGACAGCTGTGTATTTTCATTGGCAAGTGTGTTTAAATTTGTACCTCCAAATTGTCTGCTCGGCATGGGCCTAATTGATGTGATTGGCGAGGGAATTCCATGCGACGAGCTTTGTTGGTTCGGCAACCGGCGCGGTAGCTGTCTTTTCACCATGGAATTCGGGAAGCATGGCCTAGGAGGGGCATTTGGTAACTGATTGGTTCCGGCATCCAAGCACGAAACAGGGACCTTGATCAGGGACTCAGTAGTGTGATTGCTGCTCCTGTCCATAACCACGCACCAGAAGTCTTTTCGATTCTCCGCGGACATGCTGTCGTCAAGGGAGGTCAACACAAAAGAACAAGTTGATGATTGGTTCGACGTCTGTGTGTATTTGTGTGCTCAGGAAAGCCTTGGAGCAATATGACTTTAATAAGACAGGCAAGGCGTTGTCCAGGCACTATATAGTGGCGGTTTCGCATGATATGTAGCACTAAATAGAAATCTCAAGTGTGGAGAATGTATAACAAGGAATCATAGCGTTAGTGGCGTATTCTCCATCAAGGCCAGTGTCAGAGTCGGTCTGGCATAACAAAATGGAGAATTCCTGAATGAGCGATGATCATGTGCATCGGGGCCACTCGAGCAGAAGTAAGTAAGACCACCCCGAAAACACAGCCCTAGACAAGAATCAAGAGTACACAAATCACCTCCCTTCCAGGGGCTCATTGAGACATGTAACGTTCATAAGTTGCAAATTCAGGATTATGCGTCCTGAAACTTAGATCTGGCCAAAGCCTCGTCAGCTAAAGCAGTGCCGTCCAGTACAGACAAGATTTGCCAAGCCCAGGACACTACTGTACTTACGGTAGGTGTTGACGAAGAAATGGTTATACAGCCACGTCGGGAACCGCACTATCATATCGTTTCCAGTAGTACAGAATAAGAGATATCTAGTACAGTACATAGTAGATTCACAACAACGTAGCCATCTGTGTGCTCTTCAGATGCCTATATGAGATATTCATCTCTGAAGCTGGCAGTAGAAATGCAAGTTTCCCTTTGGTGAATTCAGATGGATTGGCCATTTCGGTATTTGGAGATAAACACTTCAAGAAAAATACCAAAAGCAGCAACTAGAATGAATATATGTGTCATGGCCGAATTGAGCGCAAAACAACGCATAGTGGGATTGAATAACACACAGGTTTTGCCTTCAACACACCCAGATCTGGTCGGCTATTTTATGTATAATGCGGAGTGGGAAGAGGCCACCGTTTCAAGCAACTTGTCGCACTCTCAGTCATCATTAGAATAGAATTTCAAGTCACGGAAGTTTATTATGTGTGGGGCAAGCAAACCTGTACTTGTCGGATAAGGCTGCCTCTGTTAGTTGAACAAGCAGACTTGACGTAATTGCTAGATGTCATAAAATCATCGATATCAGTAGTTTGAGAGGCTGGCCAGCCACCCTGATGAAATCAGGTGGCTGGGAAGTCTTCTAAACTAAAGATAAAAGACATGAACCCTTCTGAAGGATAGAAAAAGAACAATAATTTTTATATTCAAGAAATAAGCTTAGCTAACAATGAGTCTCATAACGTGACAGTTATGAGCCCGGACCCGCGCACTAGGTTGTCAACAAGAACAGCCATGCTGTGAAAACTGCATAACAATAGAGCACAAAGACAAGTGTTCGTGAGACAGTTAGCTAAGTTACAATAATTCCTCCTGAATACGTAAAGATGCCACCTTCCAAGACTGAAGTTATCCTCACTGGGATCGACAATTGGGACGGCTGGCAGAAGTTTGTTGCAAGCTTAATTGATATAGACATCTGGGAGGCAATTAAGCCAACCAACCGAACTCAAGTGCTTCTACGAAAGCCAAGAAGACCGCAAGTATCTGATTTTAACGCAAACGCTCAGACTGAAGTCAATCTTTCGGCATCTCAAGTCAATGCTTTCAGACTAGCCCGTGACAATTGGAAAGACAGCTCCAAGGAGTATGAGCAACAGAAAACCAATCTTATCAAAGCCAAAAGTGTTGTCATCAGCCATGTGGATGAGAGATTAGGTCGTTATCTTGATCAAGACCAAGATCTCCCCCGCTGGATTGACAGTCTATCTGTAGCAGTCAACGCCGAACAAACCAAGGCAACAGACGCACTTGTGCTAGAATATCAGAAGATCATCCAGTCATTCAGTTACACCGATTCACCAGAAGATCATTCAGTCATTCAGTTGCACCGATTC